CTCTCTCTCTCTCTCTCTCTCTCTCTCTCTCTCTCTCTCTCTCTCTCTCCCTCTCTCTCTCTCTCTCTCTCTCTCTCTCTCTCTCTCTCTCAGGCGAATTCGCCTGGAATTTCGTCACAAATAGAACTTTTTCAAATTTTTATTTGCTACGCTTCAAATAAAACTGAAGAATTTAAAAATTTCACTTTTACAAAATGAGAAAAAAATCATATCTCAGTCGCAGGACGAGATAAACGGCTCAAACTTCATGAATACTTTCATTTCGATTGATTGAATAGAAAGAAATTAAAGAATGACAATCAACAATTTTGAGACCAAATTCCAGTTCGATATTTGGTAGAATTGCCCATATAGAAAGAAGGCATGGACTATTTTTGTAGGGCACGGAGTTGAAATATTTGTAATTGAATGCAAAAAAAAAATCACCCAATCATCAGTGGTCACGGAATTGCCCGTGATTAACTAGCTATGATCATTTGATGAAATTGAAAAAGCTCACTGTCTTTCTTACCTGATTCTATGAATTCGGTCGTTTCGCTTTCTTCGTGGTCAGCAGTTCTATCCCAATTCATATGGAGTCCTGTATCATAATCATATCTAACAAACTTTTCCGTCCTTTTTCTCGATGTTAATTCAGAAGTTCGATTATCGGTCCATTTTTCATAAGATTCACGTTTGTTTTGTGAGCAATGTCAAATAAGTCTTCCAGCATACATTTGAAATCAATCTCCTTTGATTGATATACTACGGATTTCTTTTTCTCAGGACTATATTTGAGCAGTTTCTTGTAATCCTCCACCAATTTCTTGATTTTGGTAATCGCATGACACTCTTCGATCATTGGAATGCCCGCGTATTCCCAAAACACAACACATTTCCGCACAACATGGGTTGCAGCCTCACGAGCTGTAAAGTTACAGTGCCGAGTGTAATGAAAATAACACTCCAGTACTTGTTTATTCGAAGGTAACTGGTTACCAACTATTTCCGATCTCATTCTACTGATTAGCGGAATTTCTAAATCTTTTCTTGTTTCCGGCATTTTTCTACACGTGCTGTTTCGACAATATGAAAACAGAATATTAAGACTGCGATCTTTGATGTTTGGGAGGTCTTCCTCGGCTGACCTTTAGTGAGGACTAGGCTTTCCGCAGACGGTATGCAATCTAAAAATTTACAGAATTCGAGAAATAGCCACCCTTCCTTGTAGCGGATGTGGTGATTCTACACTACAATTATAACACACTATCTTTGTTAATTAACACTTTAATGAGTCGAATTAATATACAAGATGTCGGGTGCGAATATATATATGTGTACTGTGATAAGTCCCGAGGAATGCTCGGTGAATGCGTTGCGAATATTCGTTGGTTACTGATCGGTTGTCGTAGCCCGGGTAATTCGGCCGGGCAGGTAGATGACCGAGAATAAAAGTGGGGATGAGGAATCATCCGCGTGTCAGGCTGTAGAACAAGAGCCTGATTGTAGCTAGCGCTACATGGCTCCCCTGTTTAGTGAGGTGGCCAGATGTAGTGAAGTAACAACGAAAAAGGAAAAAAAACTGAAACAGAAAAAAAAACCTATAGAAAAGAAAAGTTATGTGATCTGCGTCACACAAAAAAACTTGAAATTTCGAGAATTTCTATTTTCTGTAAGGCTTCGGAAGNAAAAAAAAACGTATAGAAAAGAAAAGTTATGTGATCTGCGTCACACAAAAAAACTTGAAATTTCGAGAATTTCTATTTTCTGTAAGGCTTCGGAAGGGCAAATGAAACCTTCTTGCGCCCTGATGATGGCTTTGGAGGACCCTGAGTATCAGCTGATGAGCTGGTCGAACGGCCTGTTGATGTTGTGGACCCGGAGTTTGACCCAGAACTTGGTCCAAGTCCTCCGGTAACACATACGCGGGTTTCAGACGGTCGATAGAAATTGGCACGCTCGTGTAGTCCCCAATGCCTCCAGCGCGGAAGTGGATGTTGAAAAACTTCTCATGCCTGCTGATCACACGGAAGGGGCCAGAGTAAGGCGAGCCATACGCTCGACGCACTTGGTCGTTCCGGACGAAGACGTGAGAGCATGTTGCCAAGTTTTTGAAGACGAATGTTGGTTTCACTCCGTGCTGAAACGTTGGAGATGGAGCTAGCTTGCGCAGACGGCTTCGCAACCTCTTCACGAGGTCTGGTGCGGCTGCGTTGTCAGCTGATGGCGCGACGAATTCCCCTGGGAGGCGAAGTGGCTCTCCATAGGTGAGTTCCGCTGGCGTGGCCTGAATGTCCTCCTTCCATGCGTTGCGGACGCCCAACAGGACGACAGGTATAGCGTCGTACCACTCGTTGCCATGGCAGTGGAGAGCTGCCTTCAGTTGTCTGTGCAGGCGTTCCACCAACCCGTTCGCTTGGGAATGGTAAGGCGTTGTCATCAGTCTTCGATTCCCCAGTAGCTCGGACAGCTTCTCGAAAGTGTCGGGGAAGAATTGACCTCCACGATCAGATGTGATTCGCAGGTGAACTCCACACCTCGAGATCCAGTGGTAGAGCAGGGCATGAGCGACCGTTTCTAGGCTGGAATCCATTAGTGGGACTGCCTCGGGGTATCTGGTGAAGCGATCGACGATCGTCAGGCACCAGCGATGACCTTTTGACACTGGAAGAGAGATGAGGTCAATGTGTATATGCTCGAAGCGCTGTGACAGGAGCTCAATACGACCTGGCGGCGGAGAACAGTGACGAGTGACCTTGTTGCGTTGGCACATGAGGCAGTGTCTCGCCCACTCTGCACAGTCCTTTTGTATCGAGGGTCATACATAGCGATCCGAGACGATCTTCCGAGAACCTCTGCTTCCTGGGTGAGCCATTGTGTGCAGGGACTTGAAGACCTGCTTCCGCAGCGGCTCTGGAACGTACGGTCGAACTGTCTTCGATGAGACATCGCAGAACAGTGACGTGTCCTGTTCAGGGAAATGGATCCTCTGCAGCTGAAGGACACTGTTCTCCCTCTGAAGGAGACGTTGGAGCTCCTCATCTTGCCGTTGTGCTTGTGACCGTTGCTCAGAAGTTACCACTGAGAAAACTGCCTTAACGCNACGTGTCCTGTTCAGGGAAATGGATCCTCTGCAGCTGAAGGACACTGTTCTCCCTCTGAAGGAGACGTTGGAGCTCCTCATCTTGCCGTTGTGCTTGTGACCGTTGCTCAGAAGTTACCACTGAGAAAACTGCCTCAACGCGGGAGAGAGTGTCTGCCACGATGTTCTCAGCGCCAGCCACATGCCGGATGTCCGTTGAGAATTGTCCTATAAGGTCTAGTCTCGTGAACTGCCAGGGAGTCGCACGTTCAGGGTTCTGCTCGAAGGCGTGAGTAAGAGGCTTGTGATCGGTGTAGATTATCACGTGCCGGCCCTCCAAGATGTGTCTAAAGTGCTTGATTGCCTCGTATACAGCGTGCAATTCCCTGTCGTAGGTTGAGTGCTTGCTTGCTGACGGCGATAGTTTCCGACTGAAGAAAGCCAGAGGTTGCCATGAGCCCTGATGACGTTGCTGAAGGACTGCACCAATGGCCCGGTTCGAAGCATCGCTGAAAATGGCCCATTCTGCTTCGACATTTGGGTGTGACAGCAGTGTGGCCTGTGCGAGAGCCTGCTTGGCCTTGTTGAACGCCTCTTCCTGGGGTGCCTTCCACTCGATGGGATGTGAGCCCTTCAAACCTGAACCTTGCAGACAGGCAGTGAGGGGGGCGAGGATGTCAGCTGCCCCTTTTACGTATCTGCGGTAAAAGTTGAAGGTGCCGAGGAACCTTCCCAGTGACTTCACTGTCGTTGGCCGCGGGAACTCCAGGATAGCGGCGACTCGCTCCTCTGGTGGTCTGATTCTCTGAGCGTTGATGTGATGGCCCAGGAAAGTGACTTCTGGCTTGCCGAATTTAGACTTTGTGACGTTTACCACAAGACCAAACTCCTGGAGTTTGCCAAAGAGTGCTCGAAGGTGCTCTCGGTGCTCGGCAGCATCCTTCGAGAAGACCAGAATATCGTCGATGTAGCTGAACGTGAATGGTAAGTCACGTGTCACCTCGTCGATTAGACGTTGAAAGGTTTGCGCTGCGTTCCGGGGTCCAAACGTCATGAATGGGAATTCATACAAGCCGACCGGTGTTATGATGGCGGTCTTTTCAATGTCCTCAGGTGCCACCGGGATCTGATTGAACCCCTTCACCAGGTCGACTGTGGAGAAAATCGTCGTTCTGTGTAAATTCGCTGAAAAGTCCTCTAAATATCGAATGGGATACTTATCGGGAATTGTTCTGGCGTTGAGTGGACGATAATCTCCGCAGGGTCTCCATTCTCCATTGACCTTCTCCGCTAGATGAAGAGGAGATGACCAGGGGCTATCTGAGCGTCGTGCTGTGCCGAGCCGTTCCATCCTCGTGAACTCTGCTTTTGCGACCTTGAGTTTGTCTGGTCGGAGGCGGTAGAACCTGCAAGACACTGGCGGGCCTGGAGTTGTCTTGATGTGATGGAGAGTGTGATGAGCAGCGGTCCTGACTTGTCCTTCGGGCCTGGTGATCTCCGGAAACTCCTTGAGGATTTCTGTCCACTCTGAGACGTCCATCAGCTGCAGTGACTTGACAGAGGGGCAGGCGATATCCTTAACTGTGCCCTTGACCTTGATGCCAGTTGTCTGATCGATGAGACAATGTTCGGTGAGATCAGGTACCAGGTGAAAATGATTCAGAAAATCTGCACCGATGATCGGCCGAGAGACGCTGGCTTCGATGAAACGCCAGGTGAAGTCTCTTCTGAGGCCGAGGTCGGGCGTGAGTGAGACGTAGCCGAAGGTGTCGATGACGGAGCCATTTGCAGCAAACAAAGGTACTCCGATGCCTTGATGGACCTCCTGTGCCGTCTCGCTGGAAAGACCGAAGAGTCAGAACCTGTATCAATCAGGAACTCGATGCCTGTCTTTGAATCCCTGATGAAGAGACGGCAGGATCCTGGATGAGAGTCCGCTTCCGCCGCTAGCGACTCTCCCTGGAGTTTCCCTGAAACTTACAACCGGTAACGCAATTTTTTGCTTTCTCACCAAAAGATCTGTGATACCAGCAGGTGTCTGTGTTTGGTGGGAGCTTCCTTCGAGAGGCACTGCGGGAGTGAGTTCTGGCGGGTCTTCCTCGGGAACGTGACCTCGAAGTCTCCATCTTGTCGATCTTCGTGCGCATGACTGCAATCTCCCTTGTGAGTTCCGCGATCTGCAAGTCCTTTGCAGACGTTGCACGCTGACTGAAGATTACAGCAACAGAAGGACCTCCACCAGGGTTGAAGATTTCATGCAGTCGATCAGCTCGAAGGGCGGACTTGTCGATGTCCCTGTCCTCGTCCTCTGCCAGGAAGGCCTGCATCTGGTTTGGAAGATGCGACAGCCATTTAGCTCTCAAAACCGCCTCGTCGATTCCCGGTACCAGGCTCTTCAGATGACGTAAATGAGCCGAAGGAGTTCGATCTCCAAATGACTCATTGTCCAACAGCTGGCGCATTCTAGCCTCCTTAGAACGCGTGAAAAGGTGGATCAGGGCATCCTTCAGCTTTTGGTATGGGGCTTCGAGGGGTGGTGAACCTACGATGTCTTCAACCTCCTTGCAGATTGATGTTTTCAGGACTGTGACTACGCGGTTGAATTTATCGCGTTCGGTGACGATGCCGTAAATTGAGAACAATGCCTCTACCTGAGTGAACCACACGCTAGGTCTCTCCTTGCTGTACTGGGGTGTTTTGAACATCGGAGGAGGCGGAGGAGGTGGCTTGGCGTCACCTGTCATTATCTGTGCGAGAGCGAGAGAGAGACAGTGGGAAAACGCGAAAATAAAATTCACTCGACCAGGGATAAAATCTAAAGAGTTTCTATTCACTCACTCATACAACACAACGTCTTTGAGTGTTCCGCAATGTGTAAGCGGGCCGAGGAATTAGCGAAGCAGGTAATAATCCGCCTATTGTGTTCGCGCGGGCTCGGACAGTCACGCACCGTCTTTGTCGCACTCGCGTACTTGATCGGGAGAACGGGCTGCGACCCTGAAGAAAAATCGATATCTCGGTTCGCACTTGCCGATACACCGGATTTCTTGATGTTCTAGAATATTCGTTTCGAACCCGAAATATAATTTGATACTGTAGAACCCCGCTCGCGGCTTTGATCGACAAAAAAAACAATTTATCGATGAACCGGACTTTTTAGGATTACCGACGCACTTGCGAGCGGCTGAGAAAAATGCTAGTCAGTCGAAAGGAAATTGAGCGCATCTTTTTTCGGCGATGCGAAACGACGTGCAGAACCGGGAGGAAAACGTTTTATTATCCCACGATTCTTTGCACGTTTATCGCGATCACGTCGGGGTCAACAATTTGTAGCGGATGTGGTGATTCTGCACTACAATTATAACACACTATCTTTGTTAACTAACACTTTAATGAATCGAATTAATATACAAGATGTCGGGTGGTTGCGAATATTCGTTGGTTACTGATCGGTTGTCGTAGCCCGGGTAATTCGGCCGGGCAGGTAGATGACCGAGAATAAAATTGGGGATGAGGAATCATCCGCGTGTCAGGCTGCAGAACAAGAGCCTGATTGTAGCTAGCGCTAAACCCCCTCCCCGCCCCTGTTGCCTCAAAGAGATAGGGGCATGTCCGTTTTATACCTCATAAATTACCTAATTTAGTCCTTGGCATTGAATCCCGGTAAATGGCCTACGATTTCAGAATTTGGAATTCTGAGGATTTATTTCGAATAAATTGTCTTGTGAAATTATTATTAAAAATCATATTTTCTTACCTTTCTCCGTCATTTATTCATTTCATCTTGAAAACTTGGTTTCATAACATAATCAATGTGGGGCGCATGCGCGACGTTGTCCGATTCACACGCGTTTATATGTAACAGAGTGCTTTATATCAATTTTTTATTTTTTATTTGGTTGCCACTCGGCTAATTTGGATATTAGCCCACGGAGAAAAAATTTCTTCGACAATTGTGATAATTATCCACTACCTACCTCGCTGCCTCGCACGAATAGGGGCACATTTAACTGCCACTCTCTGAGTGAGGTTAGAATGACATGTCTAATCCTCTTGAACCTAGCAAGCTGGCAGTAAACAACGAAACAAAACCTCCAGTACCCAAAAACCCAGTAGGCAGACCATCTAAGGCTGCTCTTAGACTCAAAGAAAAAGCAAATTCGACTGGGTCTATCTCTGATCTCTTTAGAGGAGTGAAAAGACCTCGTGAACGTCTGAGCTCTGACACCGCTAGCATACTAAAACCAGCTAAATTTCAGAGACCTACGGTTGCTTGTCCTCAGTCAGTCAGTAAGACTTGTCCCCCTGAGTAGGTCAGTAAACCACCCACGATGGTGTCAAATACCGTACCCCCAATCCTCACTGTCCCCGATTGTGAGAGTCAGACTGCTGCCCAATCCTTCCCGTGGCTTGCCGAGCAGTTGATTGACATGAAAAAGTCTGGCCTGGAGCAGGAGATGAAATTGAACAACATTCTGTGTGACCAGTTCTCCAAAGTCAACAACAAAGTT